ATATTTGCGCTTTTAAGGCACATTGCGTTATGTGTATATGTTACAGAGATATTTCGATGATAATATTTATAAAATATAAATAACAATAATTATTACTTTATATCACTTTTTCCTTCAATTTTTCAACATAATATTTCACGGGATAAGTACGGTTTACGCCTCCCTCCCCATAGCTTCACTTTTGGTTCCGTCCCGCACAGCTCCGGTCCGAAATCGTTTACTTACTGTAAATATATGAAAGCCGTGCCGATGTATTGTTAAAAGCTAGCTAAAGCAATAAAACCGTATACATTTTCGGAGACTATTTCTTTTCCTTTTCTTTTTTTCCATCCTGCAGCCTCTCCCCTCGCGCGATCGTCTCGTCCGCTAAAGTTTTCCCCGTATTATACATAAATGTAAGTCTACAGTCGTTCGGATGGCGCCAATGCCTCCCGAATCGTGAGCCGTTTTCCGTTGGGTAAGGTTAGTCCTCTAGGCGAACTCTCATAAAATATCGCATAATACGGCCCATAAACAATTCAGAGTTTCGTAACGCAGACGAATTTGGAACGGTATCAATAATAGCAAAGCGCGCGTCGCGTCTAGACGGGCACACGAATAAAACGTCTCAAAATTGTGGCGACGAGTATTTATATAAGAGGTAACTATATATATATTTTATATACATATGTGTGTGTATATATTACACATTGAGGACCTTATTTCGTACAAATCTAACCTATTTTAATATATTTTTAAATAATCCTATGCATAATATATCGATATTGTTTCGTTCTTACACGCGTGGTTAATGTTATACGTATAAAAGGTACGAACGAATCGAATGTGTTTCGATTGCACATTATGCGTGTATACTGTACATCTACACAACGAAATCGACCCTTTTACGTGACTTACCTGCTGCAGGCGCGTTAATCGAAAGCAGCCATAGAAAATAATAATAGTAAAACGGTCGTTTGTGTAGAGCCACCGCCGTGCCGCCGGCCCTCCAGTCTTCCACATTGAGTCGGCATATAGGTAATGATCGTAACCTCCATAACGCTGCTATAATCTTGTTTAAATGTATAACAATATATTATTCTATGTAGTGCGCCGCTGACTTGTCAGCTTTAGTTGAATTGAATTATTGATATATTGTAGTATTAACGTTATTAACGTTGTTGACATCTATACTTATTCAATAACCAATGCTTATCGAGTACTCAGTAAAGTCGCTCCGAGACGTACACAAGTGGCGCATAAACTTCTTCCTCTCTCCGGAAATTATCAATTTAACAAGGTCTATGTGACACAAGTATATTATTATGAGTGTCGCAATTCGGACACGTGGATTCTATACGCTGTTAACGTGGGAGCTCGTAAAACTAAATTACATTTATACAGTTATTAATTGCCATACGCGTATATATATATTATATTTGTCATTGCAATCATTGTACAGAGTTACTCATACACTCGATCATATATTCGTTGAACTATACTATGTTGTCGCTGTACACCTACCGAAACAAAACGTGACACTTAAAAATTTCAGATTTGTGTTATTCAACAACCATTGGCAGCGAGATGTTGCTGATAGCAAGTGTAATGTTTTTTTAAAAATAAATTTCGTTTAGCCGCATACTCGTAATTGTCTTAACCGCAGTTGTTTCAACCATGTTGTTGAATATTGATTTCATCATTGTATATTTTCCAATGCTACAGATCGTTTTCCTGTATTTAAGCGTATACGCTGTTTAAATTGAATATTGTTGGTGTTCTAAAATAATGTTATGGATTACTAAAAATCACAATAAACATTAATTTTTCTTGTTGTATAAATATATATAGCTGTGAGTACAATATATTTACTTACATATATGCACATATGTAATTATTGTTTTAAAAAGCAAATTAATTACATTGTACAACCTTAACAGAAAATATATATAATAAACTGTAAACATTGGTATTGGGTATTAAATAATTATATTATATATTAATCACGAGTATATTATGATAAAACGATTGAATTTGATAAAATATTATATACACGTACGATCGTGCTTCCATGAGTCAGTAATATTAATTTGCTTTGGCTTTAACCACGAGTTCGCTCATACATGAAATTTCGTTATGTTTCAATAATCACACATGGTGCCTTATTATAAACGAGTACCATAATATTATACGAGACTGCAGGCATAATAATCGATGAAACTACTCACTAGAGTGAACACTGGTATTTAATAATATTGCCGTGTGGACGAGATTTGTATAATAGTCCAATTTCATTCGATGCGTGTCCAGACGATAGAAATAAAAGCAGATGCTGTGTTCGGATCATTAGATCGTGGACACGAAACGGTATTATTGACATGGGGCTTGAGCACAAAAAAATATTAACAATAATGCTAAGAAGCATTTCCACTTCTTATTATTGTCAATATAGTAAGTATATAACAGTAGGATTTTTTAATTTGACCATACATATATTGTGAGTGGGTGCAAAATGCTTTTTGTATTATAGTATTGACAATAGAGATATGTTTGGATTATTTTTAAAGTGTCATATAAATACCTCCGTGGGTAATTTTTGTGGCCTAACAGAGAAAATGATGACATTTTATTGTGGGATAAACTACCTTTTTTTAACCTTTTTTTATGTGGTATTACAACATTTGTACACTATATAGTAAATAATCTATTGTTATTGTTGTTGACTTCTTTTTCAATAATTTGGACATTCGATCGTATATTCCGGCCAAATGGGATTATTTATTTTCAATTGCATCACCACTGTGTTCAGTATTTAGTTTTTCTTTTTACGTGCTGAAGTCCTGGAATCATTATAATAGACTGATAAATATTATTACATAAGATATTATTTGCAAACAGTCACATCGCTGGTATAGGTATATAGGTATATACCGCATGTCATTAGGGATGAATGTGGTGGTCAAGCTGTGAAGGAAGTTTTTTTACAAAACCCACAAACTATAGTCGAGGTCTTGGGTCGCATATTTGTTCATTTTTTTCTTCTTCTATTGAATCATATAAATCGTGTGTGGTGGGAAGTCAAAATGCGCAGGACATTTGGGAAAATTCTTAAAAAACAGATATCAGTTCAGTTTCCGATTAACAACAGTTACGGATGTTTCTTTCTATATGATTCGTATTATTTCTCGTGATTCTCTGACGTTTATTTTAAGTATAATGTGTGATATTGAAGTGTTAGAGATTGAACTGTTCATTAATTTAAAACATATGGATGCCGACAAAAGAGGTGATTTTATTCAATTTATTAATTATTAAAAAAATATTTAATCTTAAAATCAAAATTTTAGAAAAATCTTTATTACTCATACAAAAAAAAAATTGTTTACTTTATAATTTGTTTGCGTATAGTTGAGATAATCATCGCTTAAGTATTTTTTAAGTATTATTAATTGTTGTAACTTGTAGGAGTTTACAATAAAAATAAAAATATAAATACATTAAATATTTGACACACGAAAGTCGATAATTTGTGTACTTACCCATAATTGTATAAGCTTTTTTCAACTATATTAATAATAATTACCAATTTGAAACATCTGCTTAATTAATATTTATCAACTGTAAATAGTGAATTGAAATAATCGGTTAATATGGTATAATATTGTTAATATCGTACGGACGTACGATGTAGGAGGCACAGTATCAGATAAAAATCCTAGACGGTCACCCATCCTAGTGAGTAGTAATAACTACTTAAATAACGTTTATCGAGGATTATCTCGTCATTGCTGGTCTAAACAAGTTAATCGTTTGCCGCCGCGCCAGGCCGTCGGCCGGCGATTGTAATCGAATTCCGTATTTAATTTTTACACGTTTTCTTTAGTGCCGTTTCGTGTTTTTATTTTTTTTCGTGTACGTATAATAAATTGATTAAAACATATATAATACTATTTTAATTTTATCGTACATGTAATGACAACGGTTATTAATTATACTTTAGTAAAACTCAATACGACTAATCGTCGTTTACTGGTCGCGCGTGCGCCTCTATATCTACGATACCAAACGATTTGTTATCATAATATTATATTCTACAAACTTTGTTCTTATAGATTATACTGACTTAAGTAGGTATACACTGTGCGGTGACATTAACCAGTTAAAAAGTTAAGTCGATTTTAATTGAGTTTCCTAATGACTTACGAGTTACATTTTTTTTTAACTTTCAACTTAACGAGTTACTTTTGTTTTAAATTATACCTAATATATATTATATATTATTATATATTACTATTATTATATATTTAGTGTATTTGTTTTTTATTCACTTTAAGTGGAATATAATTATGTACATTATATGCAAAGATTTATTTCGTTTATCCACCACACTCCGCACAAATGTAATCATCTAATCATCCAAAATAAACGTTCTAAAAATATATATTGAAGAAATTTAACTAAGAATAAAGTTGTTTTTTTTTCAAGTTTTTAGACTACAAAAAGCAATTCATTAAAAATCAAAACCATACTAACCTACACTATTTTCTTGGTAAATCTACAACACAGTATTCAATTTAATGTACACTGTATTGTACCGTATAAGTACGATATTATTACCATCAAAACAAATAAAACTTAGGGCTACGATATTATTAAAACATATTATGGTGCTCTGACATAATTTCACACTCTGCTCGTTGTTGTCGACAGTAAACAGTCCCGGGGCTGTGTACTGTATATATTCCATACAAATCTGATTATACAATTTATGTTATGTAAGATATTTGAATAATAATAATAATAATAATAATTTACCGGTGATTCGCACATTCCCGAAGGGTTGATTTATGTGCTCGCGTATAATAGTGTAATAATATCATAACCACCGGCGCGGTGGCGTGCGGGTAGTAAAAACGAGGCATGGCCCGGCGGCGCGTATCCGGTTCGGGCACGGTCGTCGGCGGTCGTGAGCCGGTTGGCCCGGCGTCGGCGGCGGCGGCACCGTCCCTCCTGTACACACGACTACACACACACGCACGCACGTCAGTCGAAGGTTCGTTGCTCGGTCGGCCGTTCGTCGTCTCTCTCTGTCCGCGTAATCTTATCTGGTTCAGGTGTCGAGTACGATATTATTATTATATTTATTTACCTATTCATTTATTAAAAATTTATTATCACACACACCCACGTGCGCCGGTAACACTTTCTGTGTGGTATAATAATCATATTAAAAACATGACGTGTATCGTAATCGGGTTTATTTGGGTTCTGTCGTTATCACCTCACGCCCGAGTGAAAACCCCGATTCGGTAAGTTCGTGGTGCGAGCGAAACGAGTTATTCTTGAAAACGTACGTTTTTGCGGAAGAAGTGTGCCAGTGGTCTCCGCCCGTGATTCAGTGTGTTTTTTTTTATTGAATAGTAAAACGCAAAAATTTTCTTTTATTTGGGTTTTTTTATAACCATTTTTCAACTTACTTTTCGTTTTAATCTACAGTGAGCAAATTATATTATCCTAACGTTTAATTTTTTTTTAATTTTGTTAAGCCATACCGTTTTCTGTGAGTAGTGCGTTTAAAAAAAACTTTGTGTCGATTTTACTACACCGGAATTGCAGTATTATACTCATTCGTATACTATATAATATATAATAACATAGTGTTTCCGTTCTCAAAAACAATCAGTGGCATATGTACAGTGATGTAGTGCGTAAGGTTCGCGTGTTTGTCGTTAACGATGTAATTACGTCTGAAGCGATGTTAGAACACGTTCTTACTATCACGGGACTAGATTCCTGAACGTCGAAAAGGACGCTGAGAAACCTAAGTCAGAACCCACACGACAAGATTTCGAAAATCGACGATGGTAGAGCGAATCGAAAACGAAACTGATTGTAATATGCCACAAGGCTCCTGTTGGTCTACGGTGTATTCTGGCTTTTATTTATTTCTCGCCAGGCATTCAGGTAATCACATAACATAATACATTATTTTGATAAACACGTCGTCGCTAATTTAATTAATTATGAATAAGAGTGGGAGATTATAGTCTATGTTGTGTGCATGTGACCCGATGTGTGCATTTTCATTTACTGTTCGATGTACCTTTACGTACCGCTATTGCTTATTAGTAATATGCATTTTTTATATAAATTATTATTATACTCAGAGATATTTCGTTGAGTTGTCTTTATTTTCATTCACTGTTATAGAAACCGTCTTAAGTACCTTAATCGACGTTAGTTATTGAACATGCATGATAACCGATAACGTATTTATTTTTATAAATTGCAATTTTATCAATATTTCTCGTCTCGATGAAATCTAAAGTATTTTTACCGAAATCGTGTAATGCGTTAGATTGGGATAATATTTTGTTCATTGAAATATTTAATATGAAGCAATATCAGAGAAATACCAGCCGCCTGCGGTTGGTTAATATCTACAATCTACATAGGTATATAATATGTATAGTATGTATAAACCTATATACATTAAACATATATATTGCACACATATAATAAAGTAATGGGGTGATGCTGTGTCAAGGGGAAAAACAATGATGTCAACCGAAAATAATAAACGAACCGCCGAAATCAAATAACGACATTAATGTGAACGGGGCTAATTTGACCGGAATTTGTTTTACTAGAAGGGTTGTTTTTTCATTTTCGGAGGGCCTAAAACAATAGCCATTTGTATAAAAATATTCTGGTGTTTTAAAATTCTTATTGGCACACACATACGTGATTCACTGGCTGGTTTCCGCATTGCTAGACATTTTATTATTCCCTCGGAGAAAGTATTTTTTTGCGTACCCGTAATTAGATCTATTGATATCTGACTTAATTACGAACATAATATAGTCGGTACACTCATAATGTATGAGCCACATCTGTATAACTGAATAGTGTTATAAAACTGTATGATATATTTTTGTAGTTATACGTACATTTTCACATACCAAGGGCATTATTAAATTGTTTAAGATAAGTAAGTTACACGATGATTGCTAATATGTTTAAGAATAATCCGTATACATTTTATGCGTCATGTTATTCATAATAATATTATGTCGTAAACTCTTATGTGTCCTGTGTTTACTAACCCATAACGTAAAGTATTAAACTCGGAAGTATAATATATAATAATTAATAACCATTACAATATAAGAAATTCTTGGAATTTTGTACATTTTTTTAGTTTTAGAAAGTTTACAATTGAATACATATCATTACAACTGAACATCGTAATTAATTTTATAAAAACTTATGCGTGTAAACGCTTGGTTTAATCTCTTCAAAATATTCAATAAACGTAAAGATATTGTGTTCCCATTGTAATATACTTCACCAGTATGAATGGAAATCATGTTTTTATCGTATGAAATGGTTCAATACGAAGGGAACGACAATAAACAATTGGCAATATTATATGCGAAGCATACACGCGGGATACAAAGAATAACGAGAGTTGCGAATAAAACGATTATATCCTTATTATTTCAAAACTAATTTTGGTTTCGTAAATATTTTTTTTTATATTTTATGGCATTAGTTGCTAAATATTACGGATAATAATATGAACAAATATTATTAGTATAACAACATTTGTAAAATATGTCCGGTTTCTCGTCATGTATGATTCATCGAGACAAGATTCATAATATAGTTATTGTACTTAGATTTTATGTGAAGCATCCGGTACACGAATTGTGTTGACAATGATAGCTTTAATCAACAGCTGAGCACGTATTCTCGCAATTTCCGATTACAAACTCGATTTGGAATGCATTTTCGACAATAGGGTTTGTGCTGTTTAAACTGTTCCTCGTGTTTTTATAAATGTTAATTTTAAAATGTCCAAACAAGTGTATGAATTTACAATTGAATCGGATGTGCATGTAGGATGTGTGAGTATGTGTGACGATCAAAGAAATTAATGGCGCAATGTGTTATTTTGTTTTGTTTTTGTTTTAATAACTTGCTGATCGGTAAAGTTTACTACGAAGAGAGAGCGATATTTTCGAAAAGAAAAAAATGGCAACGTTAAACAGCTTTACAATGGACACGGCGATTAAATAGGAAATTCTGTTAAAGGAAGACTTCTCGGCAGAACGGGTTCAAGGTCAACGGACCTCCAACGCAGCCAATCAATGGTGCAACCGAGAGAGTTATTAGTTCTCATTTATGACATGTTTCCACTGTGTGTATATTATATTATAAGTACGTGATGTCGATGTGTGCTAAACGAATATAAACGCTAGAGTTTCCAAATTAAATAATTGCACGATTTTTAAACGTTTGAAAAAGATTATTGACCTCGACTATTTTTCGGTAAAAAAACGGTCCTTTTTGTTTCATCATTGTCGCCAGATACGACTTCTGCATTCGTTCTGTCTCTCTCGCAGTTTCTGTGTTTTAAACCAAACTATGAAAGCCAACCGGTGCGGGTTGCGGGGGAAGAACTGCCACTGCCGCTGCTGCGCCACTGACAGGTCCATCGGCGGTAACGTCACGGATGGTGAACCAAAAATAAATAAATATAAAAAATATGTGTGTGTATATATATATATATGTAGAGGGAATTCGTAAATACATCTGTATTATTATTAAAAAAATATAAAAAGTACAACTGCAACAAAACACCGGGCAAAAGATGAACTCGGCGCACCATTACTATATTACTGAAATTGTCAACCGGACCGTGTCGTCACGACTGTCTTCGTCTGTGGGACGAACAATATGCGACTATATAATACACATATATACATATATTAAAGTGGTGTGCAGACTCTGGGGGATAGGTCCGAAATAACCCGCCAAATAATCATTGGCAGTGTTTTTATCCGCGTAGTATTCATTATATTTATTATCTGTACCTACCTATTATTATTATATTGTAGTGCGTCGTCGTCGTCGTAGTGCTTGGGTGGTAGCTGCCATGGCGGTGGTGGGGGTTCGTTGCACCTTTGGCCAGGGTCAATTAACCTTCCTTTCCTCAGGTATTTAATTTCCCACGCAAGACAGCTGTCGTCCGTCACCATTTTTCATCTTCGATATTGTGTGTGTGTGTTTGTGTGTTATGTATACATCTGTATTTATACGTGTGTATGCGTGTACCTGTATACCTATGTACATGCGCGTATTACAACCACGTTATTTTTCTATATAACGAATCCGTACAAAACAACCGACTAACAGCCGCTGTGGGGGTAAAAAAAACAAAAGGAAGTCGACTTGGGGTTTTTTTACCACTACATACACCCGACGTGGCGACGTATGCCGCTCACCGTCTTCTACAGACATACTCAGGCCCTGCGACACCGTTGACAGATCTTCTCAAAATCCGCGAGTGCGTTTGGTGCGATGCACCAGGTATTCTGTCGTCGTAGAAGGGCCGACTGGTCTCGAAATGGAATATATTATCAAAAAATAATAACGGTGTGTAGCGAGAGGACGAGGCACACGCCGTGTATCGGACTTCGGTGAGAGGAGAGAGAAATCGAATGTTATATTACCTATAATAATATGTGTATACAATATACCTATAATAATAATGTATTATAATATGCCGCGCGAAGACATAATATTATACGCGTTGGCACACGATCGGTGGCGGCGCGCGGCGTAGACTTGTTATGACCCGATTGTAATCACGTGCCCGTCCGTCTGCCGGTGGTACGCGTATTATAGTGTTGGACACATAATATTATATTATACACTACACACACGCACATGATATTTTACACTCTCAGCTCACCGCCGAACGCGATAATATATAATATCAGGAGGGCAAACCGGAACGCTCGCAAATTTCATGCCGGATTCCATGCCGCGCTCATAACCCATATTATTATTACAATAAACGACTTCGACGACTACGACAGCGACGCGTGTTGTCGTCGTCGTGTTACCGACCCAGAAAACCCGTGGAAATCACGTGAGTGTGCGTCCGGTCAATACCACCGAGTTTTCACGTTCGTTCGCCGCCGCCGCTCCACCTGTGTAGATAGAAAGAAAACAATATTGTTGTAATAATACAATATTAAACGAAAAGTAAATCGCCCCACTCCCCCCACCTCATTTTGCCGTCGAATGGCTGGCCGACCCGAGAGACGAGAAAAATGCGTATCGATGACGTTTTCGGCGACGGCGGTGTAGATTATAAATTATAATTTAATATCACTATACTTACAAACTGTGATAATCATTTACGAGCGTGACGTTTCCGATAAAAACCCGATGTTTAATAATATTATATTATACATGCTTTCACTGACAATGAGCATAAAAAGGAAGTGTGGTGTAATCCAAAGCAACGGTGGCGGCGGGCACCTCAATTATCTTCACTCGGTTAATTCGACGTACCTTTTAAAAACATCGCCGGCGGCCGCCGCGCACCATAATGTAATATTTTACATTTTTAATCTCTGCGCGCGCGTATTTCATATCCACAATCTTATTCTAATATTGAATTAGCATCATATCCATCGTCGTCCATGTACTTTGATTTTGGTGTTTCCTCTTCCGCCCTCGTCAAAAAGTTTATGCTTTTTCTGTATTTATATATATATATATATATATATTATAATATTATAAGTTATCCTTATCGACAAAAGAAAACTTGTAGCGTTTTCCATAATGTGATGGCGCAGTGTGAATTGTATTTACGCGAGTGCAGAGAAAAACGACATCGTGTATGTTGACGGTGTGGCGAATGATACGATATCAGCTGTACTCGCAGATTGTGATAACATGGTTCGAGTGTATTTTACTAGTGTGAATAAACCAAACAGATGGAAAACGCTATAATATTTCATCACAAGCGTAATACGATATGATTTGTATCATCAAAATGTATAGCGCAAATGCCGAGTGTAATGACTAATGAATCGATGTGTTTGTGTTTTTGCTCACAGGTCGGAGACGCACAGCGGAATCCGAAGAAGCAGTGAGGCGGCAAGGCGGCGGCGGCGGCGGCGGGTCGTCACAAAGCCTGCACCGCGCCGCCACATTCACCATGTTCAATTTCCTCCTGCTAGTCTCTGTATGCCTTTCGTCAACCACACGTGAGTACCACTTGTCTTAAATAAAAATTCGCTGTCCGTAAACAATAATGTTATTATAATAGTATGTCGACAACTTGGTCCCGCTCTGGTCGGACTCGTATTATTAGTATAATTATATAGTATACGTATTGTTCGTATAATATTATATCATCTGCTAATACATCGTAATTCCGCGTGGATGGATCGCTCGAACTTTTTTCACCGTATATACATATCATCATCATCATCATCATCATATAATATAATATCCTCACGGTGTCCATCTGTGGTACACGGGTAGTCGTGACGAAAGACCGGACGAGTCGCGCCGCCGGCCAAAGCGATAGGTCACGCGACGTGTAGTTGCGGTAGTGCGAGCGGACTATCGGCCGGCGGCGCTGCAGGAGAGGAGAAGAAATTGGAAACGGCGTCGCGACGACAATGTGGGCTAAAGTTGGCGGCCGCGTGGGCTAGACGCGGCGGCGTTCACGGCGGCTGTACTGAGGGCTAGGCACTAGACGTCGCGGTATGTTGACACGCTGCCAGAGTGCCGGCGTCTGGGCATGTTTCCGGTCGGCAGTGGCGGTGGAATGGAGCCCGCGCGACCGCCGCTGCTGCTGCTGCTATCGTTAAGATTGTACAAGAGAGACCCTGAAAAACTCGCGATTTCTGTCTCGAGTGAATCTCGAGACTACCTTTTTTTATGTCTGTCTATACATCACAGCCGTAACTATTGAGAAACAATCGTTTAATTAACCCACTCGGATTTTTTTCGGGTAAACGCGCGTACCTATATACACATTGACATTATCGACTCTATTTTTGCCATAGGTATCTACAATTTAAAAAATACGTTTAACCCATTTATTGTCCGGTGATTTTCACTCTGCATCACGTCCCTCCAGGCTTTTTTATATTTGTATTGCTTATTTTTAATATTTTGAGAAAAGCACAAAGTTTACAAAATTCTAAAATCATTATTGACTTAGTTATTTTATAAAGCATCGTAAAAAGAAATGTAGTATTTGAAGTTATAACCGTGTTTATAGGGCGACTGTTCACCCTATTTTGCTATCAAAAAATGTCAGGATTCCGACCTGCCACCTAACATAAAGACCTAGTTACGCCTACACAGTACACGCCGATAACGCGTATAAACGAACGTGTTTTTTGATTTTTTTTTTTTTTGTAATCAAAACGACGACGTCAATAATATTATTAAGTAGGTATACGTTTTATTCCCGTTTTGTTTTAATGGACAACGACGACGACGACGACGACCGCAGCACCCCTCGACATAGGCGCGCGCGGGCGTAGGTACCTATATATATATATTAATCGAAATCGGATTATTAATTGCCCATCTCGGAGGTGACACACGGTCGTCCTATTATATATTACGTATAGTGTACGATATAATACATACATATATATATATATATATACATATCGTCATCGGTGGTGTAGGTGGTCTCGACGGCTGCGGCGCTAATAAAGATTCGTCGGGTATACATCGTGCGTGTGTGTGCGTGCTTCCAGTCGTATACACACACGCACACACTCGCATTATAACAATATAATAAGATTATCTAAACGCGCGCGTATGGCGTCATTAGCGGTCTGGACGAGATACCGATCTGTGCAGGCCGGCCCGGGCTACAAAATCCTCCAGCAGTTATCGTCGTACGTTATAATAATGTATAATAATATATACATAATATTGTATAATAATATCGTATCGTGCATGTATGTCCCGCAATATATTATACAATACATATTATAGTAATCGTCGGGATGGTTTTATATTATTTTTATTGCTCCCTATATCTCTCTCGCTCTCTCACTCGTCTTATTCTTTTCTCCGAGAAATCCCTGACGCCCGGACCATGATTATCTCTCGGCCCTCGTCCGCCCCACTCCTCCCGGCACCCGTCGTCCACTTGGTCACAAAGTCGACGAGACCGAACGCGCCCGGACAAATCGATCGAACGCGCGTTTTGATTGATTTGCTTCTGTGCGTGTGGTAAACACGTAGGTATACGTAATATTATATTATCCACACACACACACTCACACACACACACACACATATATATATATATATATATATGCGTATAATAGGTGTACCTACCGAACTATACGAAGAGGGTTGGTCGCGGTCGTTCGTTCGGATATGCAGCGACGCAGCGCGCGCGTAACCCTTTTTTTCGTTTTTGTTTCATCATAAACCGATATAACGATGTCGCGGTTAGATCGGGTACAATATGTATAAATAACATATGAAACGTATATTATGCGTTATTTTGTATTACGTATCAAAACATCATATCGTATAATATGTGGACGACACAGACGACGACGGGGGGAAGTCGCGTTTCCTATATTATATGATATATTATATATTATATATATTTGGTCGCTGGCGAGTGGCCGCCGTTTTGTTGTGCGGTGTGTAATATTATTACTGTAACTCGTCGCCAGTTGTACGACGTGAGTACCTATAATAATGCAATAATATAAGTATAATGGTATATAATAATATTATTACGTGTGTACATTGCGGCGGAGACCAGTTTCGCCAACGCGCATCCGCGATGGCGTTCGTCCTACGCGCGCCTACTCGACTCCCTAGCCGCCGCGCGTACACACGTATTATAATAATGGTTATTATATTTTATAATATTTTATACCTACTCTGTTACAACGGCCAAGACTTAGGCGCCACCGTGCCATAGAGCATGGAAACGCACGTGTGTTGTGCGTGCAATGTTTGGTATTTGATGCGTTTCAAATAATATATGACATATCGGTATACCTACGTTTTTGAATTACGACCCCAAAAATAGACTAAACAGTGCGTACAAAAAAAAAGTGAGAGTCGTTCATTATATACATTATACACTGTATGTAGGTGGTAGTTTAGGTAGGTTGGTTTCTAAAAAAAAAACAGGTGAAAAATGTTTGTATGTTATATGTGACAAGTATTTAACGGAATTACCTCTCTTTAGTACATTATAGTGAGTATTACTCACGTAAAAACCTGACCTCTGAGCATGTCGAATTGGGATTAGAGACCTACGTATATACATTTCACTTTTATTCAATCGATTTTCGTAGAAAAAAAACTTCAGATGCAAAACCGCAGTAGGTAAGAGGTATATTATACTATATTGGTTTTTAATGAAATTAAAGCCCTCTAATGTCAATTGAAAAATAACATAAAGAGATATACTTAAAACGATTTATGGGTGTAACAATAAATTTCAACTGCCTTTGTATGAATTATCTGTTTTGTTGTTATATGCATTGTATTGGCCATTTTTTAAACCTTACATAGGATGTTAACAATAAATTCTGAAGATTAAGTAAAAGTGCTGGAATTTGGAAAAACGATTGACTACCTGTTTTTGTCAGTCTCCAAATATGTTGTAAAAAATATTTCATACAAATAACGTAATTTTAACGGAAATATTCTTTGATAGTCAAATACAATAATACGTGTAGTGCGTACATTTTTTCGTACAATAAAATACTTTTTCTTGTGGGTTGAATGATGCAATAGGCATAAATATAGATTTCTTTTCTTGGCATTACACTTTTTAGAAAATTCATGATTCATAAAAACAATATTATAGTTTAGAACAAAATGAGCTTACATATACGTCATATATATGTGTGTACCTAATCAATAAAACAATAGACCGAATTCTCGTATTTTTTTTTAAAAATGTATTTACCATTTAATTGGTGCTCGTGTATTAGGAAGCATAATATGTTGTTTTATAGATGATTACGTTTCAACAAACCCGCGAAGTGTTGTCGCAGCAAATCCGTGTATAGAAAATAAATCGAATTAAAATCTTCCGTTATTATACACTCGAGTGGAACTTTTAATCCTTTCGACGACGCGTTTCGCGTAAATAGGTCTATAGGGTTTAAACGGACCCATAGGATTACGCGGCCGCGAGCACACACACACACACAAACACACGATATTTTTATTATATTGTTCGTTTACGCTCGTACCGCATGAACCCATGAACATATGCATCGCAAATCGGATTAAATGGATTCGGAAATATTTCGAGTGTCATTGTCAATACAGCTGCAGCGGCCGGGCGGAGCCGAAAGGATTCCGAAAAAAATCGTCCATAAAATCTGTCGGCCCGTTGCAAAAACACGTTTTGACATATTTTCGCGGGGACACCGGCGGTCAGCGGCATCGACAGGTAACACACCGAGTCCGGCGACTGTGGTTTGTATGGTATGAGAGAGGCGGCCCGCCCGCGCGCATATTCTCACGATCCGCGGGGGTTGTGTCGGCGGCGGCGACAGTGTAAACGGGCTTTATTAAATCGTCATTATATAATATAAAAACGCCGCCACCGGTGCTGCTGCTATAGCTGTCACTCTGGTCGAAGAAATTAATAAAAAAATAATCATAACAACAACTACATCAACAGACGGAGACGACTCGACCTCTTCCTCGGTCGTCGTCGTTCCGTTTTTGTTATATGGGTGTTGCGTCTACATATATGTATAATATGATATTATATACTATATTGTAGGTATACCTCCATAGGTTGTTACCTATGTGACGGGTATAAACCACGATGCCGCCGAATCCCATCGCGCGCGTCGTCCTTGTGGCGCTATATAACATCATCATTAACCACCAAAGCTAGTTGTAACCTGTCAAACGCCGTCCGCCGCTGCCGCCGCCGCCGCAGCGTTCCCACCGGCTGGCCGACACACGCGGGGCTTTTCGGGACAATTGTGCGGCGGCCGGCCGGCCGGACGACGACGCGGACTACGACGAGGGGACTACGCCGGGTCGAGGGGTCCGCGAGACCTCACACGGAATCATAACCCGTTTGACCCCCAAACACCATACACTCGTCACCGCGCCACTACCGCCGATACCACATTCATTATACCACGGTCAACGCGCGCGCGCCCGAGTATCGATTATTATTAAATATCCGACGATTATATTACGTATTATTAATATTACATCGGGT